TCGCTCGAACGAAGGTTAAGGAGGGGCGAACTCATCCAGGCTTTCAAGATAATTAAAGGAATAGATGATGTCGAGTGTGGTAGGTTTTTCCAGTTTGATGACAGCAAGAGAACGAGAGGTAACCGACTTAAGTTGCGCAAACCGCAGGTGCGGCTCAGGTCAAGACAGGAATTCTTTACTTGCAGAGTGGTGAACGCGTGGAATGCGTTAGATGACGAAGTAGTGGCTGCCCCTTCTGTGACTATCTTTAAGAAGAATCTAGATGCTTTCATGGACAGGCAAAAAGGTGGGGGGCAATGTTGACGTAGGTACTAGACAGTAAGCAACTAGGATAGTATAAAAAAAAAACAAACAAACAAAAATACAAAAATATTTTGCTTTAAGAGGGTTATGCCTACCCTAAAATTAAGGAACGCTCGACCTCGATACGTGATATCGAAATGGGCGAAATCGCCTCTTGATATCACTAACTCTCCTGACTCCTGAAAACTAAAGGGAAACGCATGTTTTTCATAGAGCAACATCTTTCCTTAATTGAATCCGATGTATCTCTAGAAGTGAATCATTTTTTTGAAGCCAAAAACTCACCTTAAGTAAGATGTTGAAGGTAAAACAGATGTATGAATGGGAGAAATTTTCTGATTTTGTTTACCTCAGCTTCTCCCCACACACTCTTGCTGCCGCCGAAACACCAGACCGAAATAGAGTCCATTCAGCCTCTGCATCTGCCGTCTTGGGAGGCAGTTGGGAGTACTTCTCGCCGATCTCCCTCGCAAATTCGTCTCGAATTTCATCATCGCGAAAAGGATTCCCACCTCACTCGGCTTTCAACGCGTGCGGTTCTCAGCCTTGTTCTGAGATTCGCTCGTATGCAAAGTTTGCTGTCCACCAGATGATGATCGGTGCTCAGTTCTGCCCAACGTCAACTTGTATCCGTCACAAGGTCCCACAAGTCCGCCGAAACGATCACGTGATCGATCAGCGATTGCTGGCGCACAGTACCAGTCCGACCATCAGACCCCTGTTCCAGGAAAACTTATGGATATCTTTGTCCTGGAAGAAGGTGTTGGTGATGGTCAGGCCATTGCCAGCCCAGAAGTCCAGCAACTTTCTGCCACTCCCGTTCAGCGTGGCTTCCCCAAATCGACAGATCACACAACTCCATGTAGCATCGTCTCTCCCAACTCGGGCATTGAAGTCCTCCATCAGCACAACGTTGTCGCGTTCGGAATCCTTTCTAAAGCTCCATCCACCTCCTCCAAAAACACATCGTAATCTCACTCGCTGTTCGTCCCGTAGACCTGAACGACGGCCAAGACTCCGATTTGCTCCAGTCTGAGGCGGATCAGAGCGACACGCTCGCTGACTGGGTTCCATTCGATGACGCTTTCGGCCAGTTGGGACTTATGAGGATCCCTACTCCAGCCTGATCAAACACGGTCGAGTCGACTACGCCCCAGTAGAGGGTCCATCCATGGTCCAGGGTAATGGACCGGTACCTTTCCTCTTGGTTGAGTCTAGGCCAACTATA